TTACAAGTAGAATACGTCCAATCAAATTGGAACTCTGGGTATACTACTCTAACAAAGGATGGGTTCCTAGGAGCCTTACCAGTTAGAATCATTCCCTTCAAATTTGGCACCCATGGCTGGTCCCAAATCCTTAATATCTGACCATTTCCAATCTTCCATGACAGCCCTCTGAAAAATTCCTCTTTCACTTTCCACCAGCTAGCCCATAACCAGGAGCAGTTTTGCTCCTTAGGAGCTTTGTATAGGCCACCATCTGGGAAGTATCTGCCCTTAAGAATTTTACTGACAAGTAGCTCTGGCTGTGATTGCAGTCTCCACAATTGTTTCAGTATTAGGGCTTTGTTGAATATGTGCATGTCATGGAACCCTACACCTCCTAGCTGAGTTGGTAAAGCTGTCAGTTTCCAGGACTTCCAGTGTATGCCTCTGGATCCTTCTTTGTTAGTTTGCCACCAGAAGTTGGCCATGTGAGATGACAATTTTTTAGTAACTGCTTGAGGAAGGAGAAAACAAGACATTGTGTATGTAGGGAGGGCCCCAATGACAGACTTCAGAAGCACTTCTTTACCTGCCAGAGAGAGTTTATTGTTTTTCCAATTTGAGATTCTATTAAGCACTACTTCTTCAACAAAAGCAAAGGTGTTGGTCTTGGAAATGCCAATGCCAAGAGGCAATCCAAGGTATTTGGAGTGGGTCTGAGGTGTGATGCCCAAAAGAGTTTGACAGATTTGGTTTTGCAAGGTGGCAGGGGTGTTTTTGCTGAAAAAAATTGAGGACTTTTGTAAGTTTACAGCTTGACCTGTCAGGGATTTATAGGATTGAAGGATATTCATCAGGTGATTGGCTTGCTGAGCATCTGCTTGGGCAAAAATAAGAGTATCATCGACAAAAAATAGATGAGTTAGAGTAGGGCAGTGCTTATTAATCTTAATCCCTTTAAGGTGACCTCTTTCAACCTCAGATTTGATCAGGTGGGAAAAAATTTCAGAAATCAATATGAAAAGATAGGGTGACAGAGGGTCACCCTGTCTTATTCCTCTTGTTGGCTTCAAATAACCTGCAGCTTCACCATTCACATTAAAAGAGAAGGAGGTAGAGGTAACACATTGCATAATCCATTTCACAAAAAGAGAGTTAAAACCCAATTTCAGCATAATGAGTCTCACACTGTCCCATTCTACTCTATCAAAGGCCTTGCACATATCAAGCTTGATGGCCATGTAGCATTTTTTACTAGATCTATGGTTCTTGAGAAAGTGGATAACCTCATTAGCAATGACAACATTGTCAAGGATTTGCCTGTTTTTGACAAAGGCAGATTGATTTACACTAATACAGCTAGAAAGATGTGGCTTAAGTCTGTTTGCAAGAATTTTGGATATCACTTTATAGACAACATTGCATAAGCTTATTGGCCTAAAATGAGCTACAATTGTGGGGTTAACACATTTGGGGATCAAGGTTATCAAAGAATGGTTAAGGCTTTTAAGAATTTGCCCAGAAGCAAAAAAGCTAAGCACAGCCTCATAAATATCAAACTGGATAATTGACCAAAAGGAGTGGAAGAAGAGAGCATTCATACCATCAGGCCCAGGGGCTTTAGAAGGGTTGATACTGAATATGGCATCTTTGATTTCATCTGTACTGACCTGTGCAATCAATTCAGTGTTTTGGTCTTCAGTGATGACATTGGCAATGCCTTGTAGGAGTCTGTCCCCAGTTACTCTCCCAGATGAGGTGAAAAGAAGAGAGAAAAAATTTTCAATGCAGCTAGCAATCTCATCTTTGCTTTCACAGATAACTCCCCCCTCGCCAATCAATCTAAGAATTCTGTTTTTCCTTCTTCTCTGCAGTGTGGTGGCATGAAAAAACTTGGTGTTTTTGTCCCCGTATTTGAGCCAAGTGATCCTCGATTTTTGCTGCCAGAATTGCTCTTCCAATTTGTAAGCATCATTCAGCTCTTTAGTGAGTTTATCCCAGGTGTGCCAATCTCTCAATCCTCCTTGCTCTCTCAGCTGCTCCATTTGTCTGGCTAACAACTCAATTTTCTTAGCATTGTCTGAGGTGAAGGTGGATGTCCATTTCAATAATTCCACTCTGGTCTTAGTAATCTTAGACTTGAGAGAAAACATTGGTGTACCCTGTTGTTGCTGCTCCCAAGCCTTAGACACCACTTCATGTATCCCTTGCTTTTGAAGCCATCGTTTGTCAAATTGGAATCGTCTTTTTTTGTGATGGCTTTCTGGAGAGCTTATAAGCAATAATAGGCTGTGATCTGAGGCGCTTTTGAATGTATTTTGAACTTGAGCATCTGGATATTGGGATGACCATTCATAAGATCCAAACCACCTGTCAAGTTTCTCTTCAATGAACCCCTCCAAAATTCGGTTGTTGCCCCATGTGTACTGGTAGCCTGTCCAGTTCATTTCCATCATCTCCATTGCTTGAATAAAGTTATTAAAGGGTCTGCAGGATTGAACTGTTCTCATTCTTCCTCCTCTTTTTTCTGTTGGTTGGGCAATATCATTGAAGTCCCCTGCCATAAACCAGTGATTTCCCCATTTGCTCTTGGCTGAGATAAGATAATCCCATTGCTCCCTTCTTGTCTGCATCTCAGTACTGGCATAAACAAAAATTCCCCAACAGACCAGATTTTTAACCTCATCCCAGAACTCCACTTCTATACAAAAGGACCCCTTAATAATACTAAAAATATGTACATCAACATCCCAACAAAGATAAAGACCACCACTCTTGCCCTCAGGTTCAACAGTGGTCCAATTCTCTCTCACCCCTATATTTCTACTAACAGTACTAAGAAAAGCTTTTTTTTTTTGTTTCTGATAAAAACATGAAAGTTGGGTGGTGGAGTCTCCATATCTCCTTGATTTGGGAAACTGTCGAGGGGCCACCCGCACCTCGACAATTCCACACCGCAGCCTTCATTGAGGGTTTTGGGGCCATTTAGGGCTGGCCTCCGGCACCTCTTCCATGTCCAGTTTTTGCTTCTTGTTTCCACTTCCTTCGTTTCCTTGCTCTTGCTTGTCATCAGCCCTATTAGGACTAAACTCTTGTGGTTGCCTTTTTTCCCCAGAGGATTTGGGAAAATGATTAGTCTCAGGTTGAGTCCCTTGCCTGGCTCTTCTCTTCCAGCCTTTTGTCTGCTTGATAATGCAATGAGTAGGGGTAGATTCCATCAGGACGATGGGTTCCTCTTTGTTTAGCTCTTTGTTTGGAGATTTATTAGGATCCATATCAGGGATGATAGGTTCTGGGGTGGATGATATATAAGTGCAGGGTGAGGCTTGCTTATGAGTGGAAGGTAGGGTGATAGCCAGGGTTTCTGTGATTGGATTAATGGGAGGGATAATTGGTGAGTTTGGTTTACTGGTTTGGGTGTGGATTACTGGAGTTAGGGGAGGGTTAAAAGGGGTGGGAATCTCATGGGTTGGTTCTTGGGCTAAGGAGGAATTTGCAGTGATTTGGTGTTGAGAAGATAAGGGAATAGAAGGAACAGTAGTCATGTGGGAGTTCGATTTGAATGGGGTTATTGAGTTACTCTGCTTACTGAGGTTTGGCGATGTGGGTTGTGTATGGTGGCTATTTGTGTTGGGAGGGGAAGATGATGTCGGGTAGAAAAGGTCTGTTGCTTTAAGCCAGTCCCCAAATGATCCTTCTTTCAGCTTGCCTGAGGCTATATCTTCTTCTCTTTTGGTGCAAACTCTTTCAGCATGCCCGATGAATCCACAGTAGTGGCATAAGCTGGCTAGTCGCTCATACTTAAAGTGCACCTTCAGTTTCTGGTCGCTCATCCTTCTTTCAGCTTGCCAAGTGGTATTCTTTTTCTGTCAAACAGATAAGAATTTAAAGAATTCAAAGTGGCGTATTCAATTGGGATTTCAAGTGACATTTTGAGATTTTTAATATTTTTAGATTTGAGAAGAATTCTATAAAATCTTAAGTCTGAAAATATTTCGTATAAGGTTTTTTCTCTAGAAATCTCACAAAATCTTAATAAGTCTTACAAATCTTAGTCTTTAATAAATATCTCAAGATTTGTT